GCTGTTGTCGGCACGCTTCAGCGCTCATTCGTCGGCGCACTTTAGAATTCGCAGTTTTGTCACCGCGGTTTAGTTCAGGCGCGCTTTTGTCATTCGTGCATTTGTGGGTGAACCGTTTTATAGTCCCCATTTATCTGTATTTACTTCCTTTGTTCATGTTTATGTTCCTATCTATACTTATTATCTTGTACATGTTTGACAAGCAAGCAAACAAACAAACAAATATGCCTGCTTGTTCCAAGTCCAAAGACAAGTTTCCTGTAAAGATAATAGGCTATCTGTAGCAAAACTCCCCTTTCAAAAGTATGGGGTTGCGTGTGTTTTATAAATACTTACATATAATAAACCATTGGTTAAGACTGGTATAATATATAAATCCATCAGCTGTTTAAAAACACGAGCCAGAAAGCAGCTTATTATATAATTAATGCCTGGAAACACCAAAGTATGTCCCATGGTTTTCAACTCCCACATAATTTGTACATGATGTGTAACAAAAACTTTAAAGAATAAACAGCCAGCATAATGCAATGGGATTAGCTTTAGAGGATGTCATGTGTGGCTGGATTGTGTTCTTTGGTTTTATTGCATGAATGAAAAAAACAACACTGTGTATTCAAATATTTTTTTGAAAATATAAATGGCTTAAGCCTGCTAATCGTTTTGGCTTAGTTTCTAAACTACAAGCTTTTCCAGTTTGATCCCCAATAGAGTGTTAGACTGCAACTCTATTAATCTCAGCCAGTATTCTGTTTGTGGATGACAGGGGATGAAATCTAATGTATGTTGGAAAGATCCAGAATGGGAAATGTTGGATTATATCCTAAGGCACGAACAGCTTCTCATCTCAATGCAGTTGGAAAAGTATTGAGCAGACAGTTGTTCACAGTTGGAAAAGCAATGAGCAGACAGTTGTTCATTCTTTCTGCTTCAGCCCCCTCATAATAATGGTCTGCCTCAGAGAGGTTTTTTTGCAAAGCTTATCTGAACATTTATGAAGAATAATTAAGAAATGCTGGTGTACCATTGAAAGTGGAAAGCAAAATTCATTGCAAAGTGCTAAAAATCTTGTATGAAGGCAGAAATATGCCCAGTTTTGCTTGGATGATCATAAACGGCTAACTTCTCCTCTCTCAAGAGAATTGTGTAATTAAAATGTTTCTTTATCTTTATATAAATAATTAAGCAAAGTAAGTTTCTCTTAGGAAAACTTTATTCCTTTTGACTACACCATTATGGTGGTTTTTTTGGCACTAATATGGAAACGTTTTGCCATTTCTTTTGATAAATTATTCCTGGGATCTCTTCGTGGTCTTCCTTCCGACAAACTAGCCACATCTGACTTGTTAACAATTTTTAGATGGCCAACATTAAATTAGATGCTGTTGCCTGCTGTGCCATGTTATTCAAAGAAAAGGTTAAATCCAAATGCAATTGTTTTCCTAAAGTCATTGGACATATGAGCCGAGGTGGCGCAGTGGTTAGAGTGCAGCACTGCAGGCTACTTCAGCTGACTGCTAGTTCGGCAGTTCGGCTGTTCAAATCTCACCGGCTC